CGGCGCGCGGGTCATGGGCGTCGCTAAAAGTTTCTTCTCGCCAAGGTGGCCGAGGGAGAGTGACTTCGGTGCGGCCACTCGGCCGGTTGCGATGTCACTTTTTGGCCTGCGCTTCTTGCACAGATCGCGTGATGAAGTTTCGGCTTGATCCGACCAGCGGGAGCATCTTCGGGACAACGCTTCCTCGAAGCGAAGTATGCATGGTAGACCTCTCGAGCGCAGTGTCGTCTGTCGATGCACTCGGATGCACTCGTCGGTCGCAATTAGCCGAGGAACAACAAGTTGAACCCGCGGCGCTGAGGCAACGAGATCTCGTACGATGAGTTACTCGACGTGCATTTAACTCTCCCGGAACGTATACTTGGGAAATAATCGAGTTACAACTAATAATTACAAATCATCCACACACACACACACACACACACACACACACACAGAGAGCGCGGGGGAACACGAAGGCGCGATTCTAGCTCGAATTTACCGTTCCATCTGCTTGCGCTCGAAATTGCGAATACGCGTGTGTCTTATTTCGCGATAGTAAAGCGCCCGTCTATTTCTCAATAAGGGTGCTTTGTTCGTCACGCTTATTAAACGGACTACGGCGAGACTACGTCCGTGGAATTCCTACGTGCGCACACTACCGTGCCATTGTCCCATGTGCACTCGCGCGCGCTACCGGACCGTTAAAACCGATAATAAAGAGCAGACCGGATCGCGCGAGTACGCAGCGCGATTAATTCGTCCGGCGCGCCAATTCTCCCGCTCCGGCACGAATTTATAAAGACACCGCGCTTCTCCGTTATTAGTGCGTAAACGCGCTCGCAGCGGAACCAAATTGCATTCGCCGATCGCGCGCACGCGGCCCCTTTAGATATATTTATACATTCTTCCATTATACCCCGTATCATTCGCTCACAACTCGCGTCCGGACACACCCACGAGGTGTTAAGCGCCTCTTGCGCGGCCCAATTAACCGGGATCGATAAGTTCGGCGAAAGATATTTCCCCGTGATCGCCTCGTTTCAGCCTCTCGCCTCGTGTAAATCCAAAAGGAAACAACGAGAAGATTCACAAAAGGACGGAAAAGGAAAAGGAGAGAGCAGGAGAGAAAGAACCAGATAAAAGGGAGAAACGGACTACTTGAGCGTCGCGAAAGCGACCGCCGGCTCGCAAATAAAGAGAGCTCATCGGAGAGCCGTCGAGCCGAGCTTTGTCGCGCTCCTCGGGAATCGAGAACTCCTCGTTCGATACGCGTATCCCAGGGCCACCTCCATCGCGACGCCCATGACGATGTGTGTGCGGACGCGGACCACGAACGGCAGAACGAACGCGTACGCGAACGGCCGGCGAAAGAAAGGCGGCTCCGCTGCGCGCGAGCGGCGCAGCGCGCTCCTCCGACAATATGCCGGCCGGCTGGAAACCTCGAAACGATCCGACACCGCCGCGCCGCGCCGCGCCGCGCCGGCCCCCGGCGGCCTGATTGGGCCGTATTTGGTTGTAATTAAGGCACCGGCGGCGACCATTAGCGGCCCGCGAAAACGAACAACATTGTTCGGCGCACCGCGCGCGCGCGCGTAAATCAAATCGCGCAAGGACCCTGCTGCCTCCCCTCGCTGCTCTCGCTGCTCTCGCTGCTCTCTCGCGCCGCGAGGACGAGGTCTCGCGCACGCTGAGGATATCGTTCGACTTTTCCCGCCGCGACGGGAGGAATTAGACGACGAGACTTTGGACTCTGCCGAGGCTGCGTTCCGATATTCACTGCCAGCATTGAAAATCTATGATACATGTGACATAAACTATATATGTTTTCAGTTTACTGGCAGTGAATATCGCTGAACGCAGCCTATGTGTTACTCAAAATGGCCAATCAAAAGCATATTCACGCAAGGTTACTCGATTCGTCGGCGAGAAATCTGTCGTAACAACTGTGCGCGCGCTCGCGCGACTTCCACAGCGGCTGGAAGCGAGCGGGCCGAACGGCCGAGCGACTGTCCGCTCGAAAAATCCGCTCGGCGAGGGCGGCGGAGAACGCGGAGTGTTACGCGAAACGCTCCCGCCGTATCGAGAGACGAATATGGCAACAATGCCTCTCGACTCGCATAATTGGCGCTATGGGCGCCCCAACGGGGGCCACCTCGCAGCGATGCCGGCCGGCAGGGCCGCCCCGACGCGGGATGAAGAGATTTACAATGTTCCCGGCCGTAAAATAATCAATAAAATCTGCGCAATGTAAAGAAACGGACGTGCGGCGGTGATTTAGTGCGCGGAGCACCGGGTCCCGTCGTTCCCTCGTTCTCCCCCTCCTCAGTCCTCTCCCCCCTCTTGTCCGTCCACCTTGCGGGGTAGTTTTCTGAAGTCCGTCCTTAAGGCTCGGTCATACGAAGGGCGGGTCGTGATGTGCCCCGAGGAAAAGAGAATCTCCACTGGAATCCACACGGACGAAGATCCGACGGAGTCCCGACGACCTTTTTACGACGGTTATACTGCCGGCGATATGAAGGCTAGTCGCTATTCCGTAAAATGGCCGTTAAATATAAAGTCGACCGACGAGTCGAGAAATTAGCGGACGATCAACGCGGAAGAATCAACGCTCAAGACTGGTTTTATGCAACGATGATATAGTAGTAACAAGAGATAACAACAAAAGCGCGGATAACATTAAACGGTCGGAGTATTTCGCGTGGCTCAGCTTGACTAGCGTGTGTGACAATCGGTCGTTAACAACGTTCAAGTTACTCAACTTTCGCCAAAGGCCACGAAGGCGGGGAGGGGGATGACGCTAAAGTTATTTGTTCCTTAAACGCTATCGCGCGCGCGCGGATTGCGGCCTCGACCCTGAAGAAGACGCATGATCGATATGCGTCCGCCGAAAAAGAAGACAAACACACACACGCCACCGCCGCGCCGTATCGTCGGACCGGGAACCAATTAGGAGAGGACCGAGGCGGGAGAGTCGATGGCCCGTTCTGAAAAAGCGCATCGCCTCGTAATCGAGCGCTAATTCATCAGCGCGGCCCATTTGCGAGCGTAAGTCGCCCAAATGATCCCGTGGGCTTCCTCGCCGCACAGGTAATAGGCGTGGCCCTGGCTATTTTGAGCGGTGCGTATCTCGCATTTACGAGGCGTTAAAGGCACCGTGACTGATGACGGAGCCGACTAACAAGATTTCGCAAGTTAAACAAAGACGCGCTCGACGAATCTGGATTTCCGCCCGCTCTATTGTATCGCGCCCCGGTCGGTCTCCCCGTAGAAGACACTCGCTCGTGAGATGGTAAATGCGTTTTCCGGATTCGACACAGTTGTTTTCGAGCGTATCTCTCGTTCGTCCTCCTCCGAGTAGACTCGTTTCGTAGTTTGACGAATAATTATTTTTCCATCCGCCACCACCCAGCCCCGGCCGAAGCAAAGTTTTTATCAGCCTCTCCGTGTCTCTGATCTTGCCAGTCGTCTCGAGCAATTTTCACTTATTCGTCGAGATTATTAATTGAATCGCGAGAATACGCGCGCACACACACACACATATATATATATATACACACCGAATGTGGTTAGCGCCTTAAGTCTCCTGTGGGAAATGCAGCGCGATTCGCCCTGCGCCGCGGGGTTTTGCGGCAGGAGCCGAGTATGGTGACGAATTTACGAGCTCCTTACGAGCGAGAAGGCCCAGCCTCGCTCGTGAGCGTAGCGGGCAATAAAGTACGAGGCCAGAGGATATTCGAAACAATCGGGCCGGTGAGAGAGAGAGAGACGGGAGGGGGGGGGGCAGGATCTATCTCGGAGCCGAGAGGAGGCCCGGATCAAATTTAGAATTGATTTACGAGTGATCGCGCGCGCCGACGCGATCGACCCGTCTTCTCTTCCTCCGGAGCGAAGCCGTCGCTCGCTCTATTTGCCGGGTAACGACGCCGGGTGTCCCGCGGATAAAATAGACGAGCGATAGTGCAGCTCGGTGATATTACGTCGATTGGCCGTCGATTGATTCAGAGTATTCCGGACGCGAGACGAAGGCCGATAAAACGCAGCAGCGAATTCAGAGCGGATTCAGGGATTCAGCGGAGTTAACGAGCTGCGCGTTGTCGACGGTGGAGATAAGAAGATCGGAAGTTAATCCATAATCCGGAAGTAAAGTCTCAGGCTTGTCCACGGTATAAAGACACGGAATAATTACGCTCGGCAGTGCGACTCAGCTTGGAAGTAGCGAATAACGTTCGGCTCGATTTTCAGCAGATTTTCTCTCATCGCACTCACTGCGGTTCGTTCGTTCTCGACGAGTTCGCCACCTCGGTGTATATGCAGCTTCACGACGACAGAGCGGGATGGCGAAAAGGTCCGCTGGGAAACCTACGCGACTAGATCTCGCAATAAATAGGGGGAAGTAGGAAGTATTTGCGGAGACGTGTTATTACGAGTTGGATGAGCGCGAGGAGAACACGAGGCAGGAGGAGAACACGGAGAGGGAGAAAGAGCCGTTGTGCGCTGCGGTTTTGCTCGTTTTTGCACGAGAGACGGCGAGTGAGATTCTCGTTGCCGATTGGTCGTCTCATTATGCGGCAATTAAACAACATGGCGAGCCACCGCGGCTCGTTCGAGGCGTTCACTTAACGCGGCGCCAGTCGTCGGATCCGGTAGATCTGCGGGCTGGCGTTGAAGTCTCCCATTATGCTCTTGCGCGAAGGGTATTCCCGCCCGTATGTGTAATACGATCCAATGACGCGTATGCCGTCGGCTGATTAAAAGATTGCGACACTTGTCCTCGACGAGTTTCGCAACGTATCCGGTATATCGCCGTATTGAAAATTTTGTTTTCCGTAATTATCGGGAGAGATTCATTTTCCCGCTGAACACGGAATGTGTTGCGAAACTCATGCGACAGAAAGTGTCGCTTTAACCTTAACCTAAAGTCTACCATGGGTGAAATTTCACCCCCCATGCGAATTTTTGATCTTATTAAAAAACGTAACCACATTGACAATATTAATTTTATAATTTTATAATATTTATTTACACTATCAAAAGTGACAACATTATGATGAAAACAGATCAATTTTCGCATATACTTTGCTATAAACAATAACAAGAAAGGTTAGCTCTGGCTGTTTGATGGTAGGCTCTTAAGGGTTAATCAGCCGACTGATTAGTCGTGAAAGTTCCAAGACTCCAAGTATTAATTTTGTCTCATCTCGCGCGTGTGTGTTTGTATACTTCCGTTTGTTTAGTCATTATATTTACAATACGTTGCAACATCAAAGTGTAAGACAATAAGTTAAACAGCCCTCGCGCGTGCGCGAGAGCTACATATAAAAATGATCGTACATATTCTTATGTAGAATGATCACACCGAAGAAGAAGCGACTTCTCGCCGACTTCTTATGAGCGTGCAAAGCGTTATGATAATTCTCGACGCAGCAGAGATGCAGTTGAAAGCTTATTTCGTGTCCAAAGTCCGCGGTATCACACACAATGAGTCTAAGTTACAAATTACTCCTCGTTCGCGTTGTACGTGAGGTTGCTGAAGGTGGTCGTCGCTGGCTTATAGAGAGGATTCTCATCCTGAAACATTCCCACGTATTGACATCCCGACAATCTCGCGGTCACGCGTTCGGAAACAACAACGACGACGACGACGACTCACCCTGTTCCATTTGGCGAGGGCGCGCTCTTTCTCGAACCGGGCGTACTCCCTCTTGTCGTGCACCATCGTGAGGATCTTCCAAATGAGGAGAATCAGGAAACCGAGGACCACGGTGCTTATGACGACGCCCAGCGCAACACCTACGGGAGAAAGTCAATTTTAGTCCACATCCCACCGACGAGGTAATATAAAAACTGATAGCCCTGGATAAGTTTTCGTATCAGCCAAGGGGTCCTGAAAGTAATTGGAGAGCGATGATAATACCGAATGTTTTAGCTACGCTCAAGATAATACAGCTAGCAACTACTATAGCTGGCTATGCGCGGCGAGAGGCAAGACAACGCGGACCGAGATACTATAAAGATTGTTGGTCTCTTACGGGATTAACCCGTAACTGCTGTTCTCCGGTCAATTTGACCATTGCACTATTTGATATTTAAATAACGCGGTTAATTTTCTAGTTGTATTCATCCGTCTAGTATTCATCCGTCAGTGTATTTTCTTACATTCTGAATGTCAGTCGACTGATATACGCGCAGTTGTGCGGTCGTGTTATTTGTCAAGATATTCATCAATTCCGTTTCCTACCGGTCAATTTGACCGGTGAACAGTGTGCGCGTACTTAAAATGGCTTCACAGCAGTTACGGGTTAAGCGTACCAGAGAAATCTCGCTGCGCATTAGCGTCCTCTTAGGAATATCGTCGCCCAAATATGAAACATAGCTCGAAATGAGCATGCATGATAACAGATATGGAGTGCGTTCGGGGAGCATGCTATTAGCGCTAACACGTCATTCCATCTTTGTCGCTCATTAGATATACAACAAGGATAGAACGACACGGGGACGTTGCACGGGGTAGTGCTTGCGGTGCAGACGTTGTGCGGCGTTGAGGTGAGGGCGTCGTGGGGTGTTGCGGTGGGGGTGTCGCGGGGTATTGGGGTGGGGGCGTTGTGGGTTGTTGGGGTGGGGAATGACAAGCGAGATTTCTTCGGTACGCTTAATTTCGTAAGACCAACAGTCTTTATAGTAACTCGTCACTCGTCGGTGACGTCTCTTCTCCGCGGTCTTCCCGCGCGTTCAACCGCGTTGTTATGCACACGACTGGCGCTACGCGGACTTCCAATCGCGTATATTAGGAGGTATTGAATTGGTTCTGGTCCCTAGCAATAGATGGCTTTAGTAACAAGTTGCTTCAATTGTTAAACAAACATTGTCAGAGCTCGAATGGGAAATCCTACCGCTTCCAGCGTTCTTTCCAGACCTAGCGCCATCTGATTACCACCACCATCTATTCCGATCGATGCAACACGCTTCGGCAATTACACACTTCAATAATTATGAGGATGTACAAAAATGGATATCTGATTGGATTGCTTCGACAGACAGATCGTTCTATCGTCGCGGAATCGCTATGTTGCCAGAAAGATGGGAAACAGTCGCAGCTAACGACGGAAAATATCTTGATTGATGTAAATTTAACCATTTCTTTAAAATAAAGATAAAAAATTTGACAAAATAAGACCAGAATTAATTAAATCTCCTGATACATGTAGAATTCATACGGGCAAAGCAGCAAAGTATTTCTCGCGTCAGATATACGCGCGTTGAGAAGCATAATTCATATGACAAGAAGGACAAGAAGTTACCGAGGACGTTAATGGGTTCAGGACAGGTTCTCTCTTCTTCGGCTAGGATCTTGTAGATCCTGATGTCCCCGCGATTACTGTAATACTGATATTTAAAAACAAACGTGCAGCCCTCGTCACCGGGTGTACGGCATATGCGGGCGCCGGTCTCCTCGTCTTTCATGGGATCCTCCTCGACGACTTTGACCTGTGAAATAATAAACCGCTCATTCGCGTCGCCGCGCAAATTGTCCGTCGGCCTCGCGCAGCTTGCGAGGTAGATGCTATCTCGAGTAAAGGATTACTAACGACATCGATGTCGTGCGAGCACAAGCCGCAGTTTCCGTCTTTCATGAGCCGCCCTGTTTTGTACACCGTGCACTCCACGCAGTCCTTGAGCTCCTCGCACCGTTGTCCTGGACACGTCTGAAAAATGTATCGTAGACGAGTCACTGGCTGCGTTCAGAAAACACAACGGTTACACAACGGTTGAGTAATTCGTCAACGTTATTGGTCTGAATGTAAGGATCTAACAGTAAGGACCAATAGTTACAATAGTTACAAAGCGCTCAGTGAGCGCTTTGTTTTCTGAACGCGACCATTCTTACGCTGAGAGAGATACTCGTTGCGCAAAACGCCACGCCGCGATCCGACTCGATGACGCCAAGTACGTAACTCTCATTTAACGTTACACGAATTTTTTAACATTTCAATGCCAAGTAATTTGTCAATCCGCGTTTTCTGCTTGAAAATTGAAGACGGGCTAAGGTAAACGATGCAATTTGAATTATTCAGCCCCATCACGCGCTCAACGGCGGATTCAGCTCTACCTCCGTTTGAGCATCTTCGCGGGTACATAATTTCGTAATTACGGCCTATTACGCCCCGTATGACGATAAAAATCGTGATAACCGCGCCCGTATGCCGGTAATTATACTGAATTAAAATGAATGCACTCATTCGTACGCCGCGGTTCTTTCCGCTGGTATGCGCTCGCGCGATATCTCTCTTCGGCATTTTTTCCTGCGCGACGCGTGCGGGCACTCACGGGACACTCCTCGCAATATTGGCCAGAGTATCGGATATTGTTCCACTCATGACAATGGCAGCTGCCGCAGATGCAATCGCCGCGGCCGCTGCAAATCTCGACGTTCCCGTTCGACGGCGGGATGCATGTGCTGTTGGTCTCCTTGCAGTCGCACGTCTCGCCACCCCATCCCGGGTCGCAATTGCAGGTACCGCAGTCGCACCTACCCCTGCCGCCGCAGACCTTAAACGCAGACAAAGAAGACGATCGGCGACGGCGTAATGGAGAGTGCGAGTAGAAGGCGTGTAATTTTGTCGTGCCGCCCTTGTGAACGCCGCTGCCGCTCGAGCGGAGAAGATTGCCGAGTAACTTCCGTGCGAATTCGTCAAATGTGACTGACTATCGGCCGTGAAACATATGAATTTACACACACAACGTCAGCGATTGCGAACTCGCCCGCGTACGAAATGGTCTCGGCTTTTAATGCCGAAGATTTTTGGATATGTCGCATTCTTCAAGTTTCTTCGGATCAGATCGTTCGAGGAAGATGCACGCGGCAGTTATTATCGCGGTGGATGCTGATGAGCGGAATAACGATTGGAAACGGAATAACTGATCGAAAAAGAAAACTCTTTAAATTTGCTGAAGTGAAGTCTCACAGGAAACAAACATTCGCTCAAAGCGACGGTGAGAATCTTTGCCGTTCGAGATGGAGTAACATTTCACTTTTCACAAGAGTGAACGTGTGCAGCTCAAGCTGTAAAGTATAGACTGAATTTTTGATCCGTACGAGTGAACATTTCAATCAGTCTCAGTCAACTTCATTCCAGTCGATTTAAATGTCATGGCAATCTTTCGATTCTACTCCGCTCACACTGGACTACAGAGACTGCTACAACAACCTTAACATTCTGTGCAATTAGGTTGTTAGGATTTTTTAATTGTATGCACGATATAGATTTATTATTGATTATTCGAAGTAGACGGAACGAATCTGTCAAAAAAGCACATTGGTCACAAAGCTTAGCTTTGTGTTAATGTTTTCTTTTTTTCTCTTTTTTCTCGACAGATTGTAAATATTCTGGGAGTTAATAAGAAAAATGTTTAAAAAGGAATTTGTATGATTAGAAAATACTTTGTACTGAATGTTAAGGCTATATTATGCAGATTATTGCAGGATAATAATAAAAATTATGATTATTGCATAATAATAACAATAATAATAATCGACAATATTAATAATAATTAATAATATTATAAATAATAATTAATTATTATTGTTAGTGTTATTATTATTATCAAGCGGATTCACTCTTCAATTTCGAATGAAATTCATTCGACGATTCGAGTCGCTGTATGCGAACCGAGTCACTCGATTTCGAGTGACTTTCGTCACTCGAAAATTTCTCTGGAAGAAATTTAGGGAGTAATCTCCGCTCGGTATTCCACCTGTGCTTGTCCGCACGGAACTCACATACGTTCGCGGTGATATCGTTCGCAGGATGGATTTCCAGGACATACCTGGCCGCCGCTGCGTTTGCAGGAGAAATTGTCGCACTGGCAGTACTTGCCGTAGAACGTTTCCTTCGGGTTCGGTCGTCTGTCGCAATCGCACACACCGCACTTGCATGTGCCGTGGCCGCTGCAGATCTCATCGGTTTGGTTGTCGGGCTTGCAGTCGGCGGTCGAGATCGCATTGCCGTCGTGGATCTCGTTTACCTTGCATTCGCATTGCTTCCCGTAAAAGTCGGGATTGCAGGAACACACACCGCACACCGAGGTGCCTTTACCTTTGCACTCCGTGGCATTCGGCCGATATCCCTGTTTCATGAACAGCTGTTTGAGATCCTTGGTGGGAAGCACACGTGGTAAAATCATCGCGCGAACTTCAGGAATTCTCGTTGATCTATCGTTCGAACTTGCAGAGTAAAACTTTCACTAGCCGGCAGCCAGCCAATTTTCGACGCTCTCTTGCGGAGCTTTCATCAAATATTAAGTTGCATGAAGATTTATTAATATTAATTATATACTAATTATTAGCTTTTCTTATTCTCATATACTTTGACATTTGAAAATCCGTGCAAAAGAGAGTGCCGAAAATTAGTAGACTACTGACTCTGTTTATATTCAATTGAATTTAAATTGTTCTCTCAAATCGAGTAAGATTTTTTGTACGTTTTTTTTTAAGTTGAATATATTAAGGCGTATTCTCTAAAAAAGAGATCGCTTGATTGTGTTTCTCTGCCTCTCTTTTTCTCTAGTCTCTAGTCTTTTTCTCTAGTTTTACCGCTAATATTTCATATACCGAGTTCCCAGGTTTCTCGCAATCGCAATCGCATATAATCTCCACGTCGATGATCAAATTCTCATTCAGGTCTCTGGGTTTGATAACCACGGTTTGCTTCCAATCCTCCTGATTCATAGGGCACTCTGTAACCTAAAACATTCGAAACACAACGAGCTACTGCCAGTGAACAGGCTGTCGATTCACTGACGCACCTTAAGCACAATCTCAAACTCGATGTTGTTATGCACGCGAAGCCCCTCGCATTCACGACGTTCCAGCAGGTCTCCGGTTTTGTTCAAACATCGGGAGAAGTACTTGATATCGATCATCTTCGGCGCGTTGTCGATCAGCGTCACCGTGTCCACCAATTTCTGCAAAGCGCCAACACATCCGATTTATTGTTAACACGCGATAAACTAGAATTACCGTTGAGCGTTCTATTAATTTATCTTGCCGGTGACGCGGTCACAAATGATTCACACTATAAAGGACATGTATGAAGAGATAGAGGAATCGCCTACCCAGTCAGTAGCATAACTATTGATTCGACATTGATTTGATGTTGAAATGATCGATGAGCCGTTGAATTAACGTTAATTCAACCCTCATCGACGTCGAATCAACGTTGTACTTAAATTGACAGTTGAGCATAAACATTAATATCTTATCCATAATCAACCCTTATATTATAATACATATATATATATATATATATATATATATATGTAACCCTTTTTTATAAGTAATATTGTATTTGTATTCTGACTACACACACAGGTAGGTACCTCATATTCACCGCTCACTAAATCAACAACATTCTGTGAATTGTCCTCAAGGATTCCGGTTGAGGAGCCGCTGATAACACGACTCAAGTCCGAGTAGGTGGAATTCTTTCCACTGGGCACTGCGAAGATGATGTTTATGTTATGCTCGCGCGCTTTTCGGTTGACCTGAAATATTGACAGACAGACAGAGTTTTCCCGAGTTAGACGAGTTAGATACGTCGAGAGCTCTTTGGGAGGGAAAAGGGATCTCGTTTACCTGAGAGATCGACGGGTAATCCTGCTCGAGAAAATAATTGTAGACTCCTTTCTCGTCCAAATGGCACTTGCAGTCGTTGGGCTCGACCACCCCTGCAAGCTGCGGAGAACCGCGTTAATTATCTCCATCTCGAAGCCGCGATGGGTGGTCTCTCGTCGCGGGATCGAACCCGGCTTTACGCGATTCACCACGTTACGTACCTTACCGTCACCGGCGATATGGGACGACGCGTCGGTCGAGAACACGATAAGATGACGCGCTTTTGGACGCCAGCCGATTTTCTTCGTGCACACCATGACCTGCATCATCGCCTCCAGTCCGCCTTCGGGTCCGTCCAGATTGCCGGAGACTGGTGCCTTTTGTACCTCGGTCTGTGATTGTTTTTGTTTTTTGTTAATAATCCCATGTTATGAGGCTGCACGGACTATTTAAAATTTAAATTATTGACTGATCAATGTTTCGCGACGTTTCGAAAGGAAAGTTTGGAGCGAAATTTCTTTTCTAAATTTCTCGGAGTAAAATCTCACTCGGAACGATTGAAAATTTACCCAAAACGATAGTAAAAATATTGCCGCTCGCAAAATCACCAGAATGAACGCGCAACTCAAGGCATAAAGTGGATTCTTAGTCGTCAAGCACTCTTTAGCTTCGCTTGAAAACGTTTTTTTTAATTTGTGCGAGCGAATAGTCGCTCGACATCGAATGACTTGGCCGTCGGCTGCTTCTCGAGTGGAACTTCGCTCGAGGAAACTCCGAGAGCGCACGTTTCCGCACAAATATTTACAGCTTCCTCTGCCGGTCACAGCCGTGTCTCCGTGCGCGTCTCCGACGATAATTACCTCAAACTCCATTACATTCTCCGTCAGAGGCATCTGATTGACGTAACTGTAAGGCGGCGCGCATGGCTTTTTGTTGGCCAAGTAGCAGGGAACTTTCAGCCTAAACGTGAAGAAAACACAATCAATCTGCAAACGCGCGACTCGCCAGCGCGATTTCTCGTCCCGTTGTAGAAATCTCGTCCCCCGACGGGACTTGAACCGCTTTTCCAATTTCACCGATCGTGTCCCCGATGATTACCCGCGCGCGGTTAACATAATTACTTTTCAGGCTGCGTGTTGGTCATCGGAAGTGTGACCTTGTCCACGAAACTGCCGAACCCGATGCGAAAATTCGACGTGAGGTTCTGCATGGCTTTCGCCAGCTGCAGGCCGAGCTTCGACAATTGCGCCCGGTATCTCTCCATGGATGCGGATAGGTCCATGAGGTAATACAGATCCACGGGGTAATCTTCCGCCTGTCTGTACTTCAGAATCACGCGTTGCTCCTCCCCTATTAATATTTATATGATAATTGTAATTATATCTAATTATCTCTCAATTGTAGTTGGCGCGCGATTGCGGTGGCTGTGGCTCTCGATCGCGGATCTTCGAGGAAAGACGAGTTGAGGCCTTAAGTATCTAAAAAAACGCCGATAAGCAAATTGCGATCGATGCAATTCCAAACGAACCAAACTCGTCAAGTTTTCGCTAATCGTTGAGCAATTTCGAAGATACATTGATCTTCCGCATCCTCGCACGCGAGTATTTAAGATCTTCATGAAACCTCGCGAGGGAGATAAGATCTTTGAGAAATGCGTCTCTCACCTCGTCTAAGACGCAAGCGTATCGCTTGAGGTTGCAGCTGAATGAGTTCCTTGCCCTTGATAGAGGACAAAGGTCGATCGTCCACCTTGGTCATCTCATTTTTGTAGTGTACCACGTTCGATTCGGGACACCAGAGGCGACCTCTCTTCAAGGACGTTTCTCTGGACATGCAACGCAACAGAGGAACACTCGTGTTCTGTTGAGACGTCGCATAAAGAAAATACGAATAAAGATTGATCGTCAGTGATTGCGGCGGTGTGCGAGATGCAATTTCACAGTGCAATTCCAAATTAAATATCTAATTCGACGCGTGTAAAGTTGCAGCGAGCAACGTGCATCTAGGAGAAATAAAAGTCCGAATTTAAAAATTGAAATTAAAAATCGCGGTATATTTTCGTGCGGATGGACAACTGCGGCGATTACTTGATCGACGAGTACTTTGTTTCCAACGTTATATAGAGTCGAGTTTGCCTCCGAGATCAAGCCGAACTGTTTGACCAGCTCACATCTTCCAGACACGCTTATCTATCTCTCCTCTCTCTTTCTCTCAATCGGAATATCGAAAGATTCGATGTCTTCCTGTTTATTATCACGAGTAAATACGTCCCGCTCTTTTAGAATGTCGAAAGACCAGTACAAAAAGGAAATCATGTTTCGCGCGCGACTGTCACGAATAACAAAATAATCACGCGTTCCGCAGTCGCATGAGTCCACTCGGCACGTGAGTCACCGGCAATGAGACGCGCACGCACCGACGTCGACGACGGATCGGAAAGGGTGTAGTCCAGGCAGGTGTTCGCGTACTCTCGTCATCTCGCGAGCTCTCCTCGCGAGCTCGTTAACCCACAGCGCTTATAAATATTCATTACCGTCATGGAACACCAGGCGCATCGTGGCGTTTGCAGGCAGCTCGAGCAGGTCTGCTGAGACTCGCAGAGGCTCTCGTGGTCCTTGTGCTGCGAATGAACAGACACGAAGAACCGCACCGCCAAGAGGAAGAAGACGATCGTCGTCGTCCACCGACGTATCATCGTTTCGCCCGTAACGCCGATGTGCTTTTGACAAAACTTGCGCGGACAAGGCAGCCGCGCGCCGCACAAACGCTCGCGATTCGAAAGGATACTGCGGCATCCCGCGGAAATGACTCCGAGATAAAATGACGCGTCGCGGTGCGTCATTAGGTAACCGTTCATGCTCTCTTCCTCGGACTGCGATTATTCTTGCTGGCCTTGATGTGACTGGCGCGAACGAATTACAACGCGTTGATTTCGCGACGATATGCGACGCAGACTTTTGTTTGTAGAAATTTGACCGATCGATTGTTGAACTGTACAACATTTAAATAAAATCATCGTTTAACTAATTGAAGTCCTAAATTAAAATCCTAGTGAATTTCGTTGAGTCACCTTACATGAAGATAAAAGTCGTACGAAAATTAAGGAAACACTTCTCAAATATATTTTCGAAACTTCAGATACAAATAAATTTTCACTACAAGAACAATTGAAAGATGAGTTTGAACATTGAACAATCTTTATTTCTCATTTAACTCGATACGTTTTGGCAATAAATAACAGCAACGTTATGAATTTAATATTCCTGACAAACAGATATTAAGTTTTAAAATGTTTCTTGAATCATTTCGCTATTATTATTTTTATTGAGTTTACAGCCTATTGAATTTTACGTGTATTCCATACAATGAAAAGCACGACGGACAATCCGTTGGGTCTAACTATTCGAAAAATAAAAGAAACGTCTGACTTGTATCAAGTTGCACCACCTCAGTTTCTCAATAAGTATGGTGGCGGCTCATAGCGGAAACTTTTGGACTAAATATCGTCAAAATAAGGAGTCTAATAATCTTTTAGACCCGTTATATTTGCGGAGCAGATAAAGGGTCTAAGAAATTATTAGACCCGTTATTGCTGTCGTCTTTAAAGCCAGCGGCACGTGGTGTTTGTTTTGTGCTAGATTGCTTGCTGGATGAAAATACTGCGTTCTGATTGGTACATTTCCGAAGATGGATGGAAATGCACCAATCAGAACGCAGTATTTTCATCCAGCAAGCAATCCAGCACGAAAACAAGCACCGTGTGCCGCTGGCTTAAGATTGAGATCAATTGAGATCATGGTTGCTGTAAATCATCGGGAGTCGATGTAGGGGGCGTACCTATACATATAGCGTACATATAGCTACATTCAGGCAAAATAAACTGAAATTATTAAAATTAAGTTTTCTTGAGTACCGACGTTGTATCTTAAGCCATATAAGCTTGTACTTAATGACTATATATATATTTTCCTAATAAAAGAAAAAAAATTGAGGTCATGGTATGACTCAATAATAGAGCGGACGGACCTTCATTTCCTTTAAGTAAGTATTATTTAGTAACGAGTCAGACGGCTTCTTGCTCTATTCTGAAAATTAAATAAAATTCTATAGACTATGATACATTGGCAAAAAGAACAATAATAAAATGATTCGAAGAGTATTTTAAACATCAAAGTCTTTACTTTTTAAACATTTTAAAGTGATAACGATATTTTTGTTTTATACTAAAATATATCGAGTTAAATGAGAAATGACGACAGTTTACTTTTCGAACTCATTTTCCTATTGTAGTTATTTATTTGTATTATAAATTCGATAAATACATTTTAGAGAAAATACTTTTAATTTTATATTCATTAGTTAGCGAAAGTCACATTCGATTTTGACATTCGATCTTTATAAATGGTCAAAGTTGAAAGGATGCTTTTTTCTTTTTAACGTTAAATAATTCTGTAAAAAAATCGCATTAAGACATACACAAATTAAAGAGGAAGGTTTAAGCTTTTAAATAGTGTAAAATCCATATTTTGTATAATCTCTAATTTATGCAGTGCAATTTGGCAAACTTCTTTAAGAATGTTACCATTTGACAAATTTTAATGTGTATCCGTATGATATTCTAGTATAACGTATTTAGTATAGTACGTATAAATTTTATTTATATTTGAATATATATATATATATAATTTATATTTGAATATATAATTAGAAAATAAAGACTGGTCTTCAAAATGTTTTTGACATCCTTTTATTATCATGACCTTCGTTAAAGTTATAGTTCAATGAATTTTATTTATTTTTCTTAATTGACATATATGTTGAGAGTTTATTTGTATTTATTACGCTCTATTCACTTATTTATTACAACTGTTCTCCCTTTTTGCATTAATGCAAAATATTTACCTAAGAGGAATAAATCTGGAATAATTCCCATCGCAAAGTCATTCGTACGATTTTCGTCTGTTCCAAAAGTTATCGAAATTAAGAGAGTGCAACATCTTATGTCCGCTTGCAGAGCTTTCCAATTTTAGAATAACTGCAATATGTAATTTACACAGTCATTACTGCTGCATAATTTTTTATCCGGCATATAATACCGCTAATTGGAGCGAATAATTATTAAATCGATTTTATCATGTAAACGCAGCTACGCAAGATATACGAACTACATCGATCTTAGGCCGTCGTGTAAACGTAGGCATAATCTGTCGTCACGAGTCGTACGTGACGTAGCGATGGATGTTCTCGACTGAATCCATTTTCAATACGTTTGACAGATGACGGACCGCCAGTGTTTGACGATTTCGACAAAGTAAGAATTGTGATAAATAGGACAACATGGAAGCGGTACCGAGATTGCCGATGATATGGTTCCATTTAAAGGTTAGCACGGAGCCCACCTCTTTCGGACCAAAACTCAAACAGGTACGAGTTCCTATGAGTTTATTATTCGATTGTATATTCAATTAGTCAGCTTCTGATAACAGTAACTTGCAGCTGTAATTCAGAGTAATGAATCTGGGTTTACTCCCTTTGTGTGCATCGTTTTCTTTTCTTTTTTTTAGTATATACGAGACTTTTATAATGAGGACGCTGAGTCGTATACGAATGAGATACATCAATTAGAGAGCCTACGTGCGATGGCGATTAGACCACCCATAGATATGGCTGGTTGTGTATTATTGAAGAAATATTACTGCCAGTTGCAATTTCTTCAAAGCAGATTTCCCATGGGCAAGGATGGTGTTGCTGCAGTCACATTTACTTGGTACACAATGGCTTTTTCTTATATCGTAACACTTATATGTGTCGCATACTACTATGCTTCCTTAATATTTTTTATTAAGTTATACCTGATTTATATTATACACCAAATATCATGTATTCCTTAATACTGTAACTAGAATTATTTGTACAATTTTCAGTATCATACATATGTATATATATATATATATATATATATAATTGAAAATCTTAGGAAACTATAGTACGAAAACGTTAAAACCTGTATGATGCCTGATGTATGTATCCTATTTGTAACTTATTGGTACTTTTCTAGGAGAGACACTTATGCAAATATGGTGTGTTCATTGGCTAACATACGTTTTGAGATAATATCTATTTTATACAATATTGGTGCAATACATACCCAGTTGGGTTCGCGTACGGAAAGAATCAGTGCAGACGGTATGAAGATAGCATGCACTCATTTCCAATGCGCAGCATGGGCTTTTGATCACTTGAAGACTAATTACCCACAACCATCTGGTTTGGACTTAGCACCGGAAGTAATGACTTTTATGCATCAGCTTTGCTTGGCTCAAGCTCAAGAATGTATATTAGAGAAGAGCATGTTGGATAATCGTAAGCCGACGATTGTTGGTATGTTTTGTTAACTATCAGTTAATTTAACGGGTTTTTATATTAACTATTTAGCTTTGTCATATAAGATATATTTGTGCAGCAAAAGTTGCAAAGCAAATAGTAGATTACTTTACTCTGGCATTGAACACATTGGAGCAAGGTGGAGGTGAAGATGGAACTATATCTGATACTGTGGGCACCAAATTTTATAAGGTAACAAATTACAATATTTTTTTCTTTCATTCTTTCCTGAGAAATTATTTTTTAAGTAGAATAATGTATTTTGCAATGGAATTGCAAGTTAAATAACTATAATTGATATATAGTAATTAGACAAATATTTACAGAGCTGGAAGTATTACGTCAACTTTAAGAGAGCGTACCACTTGGCAGTTACACACCTCTATCAAGGCCTTGCCGCTGAGGAACAAAGAAAGATGGGAGAACGAGTAGCTTTTTACAATGCTGCGTTAGCATCTCTTAGTGAAGCACATAGCATTTATTCAAACGCTAAAGGGTTGATTGGCATGTCTAGTACCTCGAAGGGAAAATCTGTTGTGGAAGAAGCACTTACGTTCACCAACGATGTGATAGAAGGCAAAAGGAAAGCTGCTAAAAACGAAAATGAGTTTATCTATCATGAAGAAGTTCCAGAGAAAGAAGTACTTCCGTCGGTGAAAGGTGCTTCTTTAGTTAAAGGCGTGCCATTCAATATAAATGACCCAGAAGTCTCGGGACCAGATATATTTGCAAGGTAATATATCTATATGTTACACAGACTTTAATATTTTACCGGTTTTATTGAACTAAAGATATAAAAATAGAGAACATGTCTTTGAAATTTAAAGATATATGAAAAATTGAGCAAAGTTCTTCTTTTCCTCCCAAGCTTTTTTAAGTATCTTTCGACTTACACTTATATATAATTTTCTCCTCTTATTTCTGCTCATTGAACATTCTCATAGTTTCATTATTCAACTAAAAACATTCTATATACGATATTGTACATCATCTCACAGATTAGTTCCTATGAAAGTACACGAAGCTAGTTCTCTCTATTCCGAGGAGAAGGCCAAAATACTACGTTCCGTTGGAGCCAAAATCGAAGAGAAAGATCAGTATCTGAACACTTATCTGACTTCTTTAAAGCTGGAACATATGAACTTTTGGGATCCTGATACACAAACGTCAGATTGGGAGTGCCTACCTCTCCCTGAGGAACTAGTCGAACGATGCGCAGCGCTTAATGCTAAACAGAACGTCATTCAGGATCTAGTAGATATTATGGGGAAACTCTCTGAAACAAGCCAAGATGTCGAAAGAGTATTAAAAGAAATATCGAAACTTCTGTTAGATGAAGAATTAAAGTATGTAGTTATATTCGTCTGTCCGTCTATTTTCGTCTCTTGTTAGGAGTCCCAAATTGAATGATGTTAATTGTTAACATAACGGTACTCGAAAAATATTGCTAATGATTTTCATTCTCCATAGAGAGAAGCAGTATCAAGACGCAGTAGGCAAAAGACCGCCATCCATAGTAGCGACAGATTTAACTAGAGAAGCTAAGAAGTACGAGGAGGCGCATAACAAAGCCTCAGAGAGCAATCAAGCTCTTCACAAAGCGATAACAATGCATGTGAAAAACCTGAAGATCCTCGCGCAACCATTAGCTGATCTGATGGCACATGTCCCTTCTCCGAGCACATATCTGTCGGGTAATTTTTATTCATACAATTATTCAGTGATGTTATATATGTGTCCATGCATATGTTATTGATACGTCGTAATAACAATTAAGCAACTCCTTCGATTTGCATTCAAGCTATAAATCTATCGTTTCATCATTCATTCATTATGATTCAGATCAAAGTTCCGAGAAGTCGCAAAACTCGAAGGAGATAGAGAAGATGCACACTAAAGAGCTGAAACGCATATTGAACAAAGTGGACGAAATGCGAATGCAGAGGCATGAGCTGCATACCAAATTGCGGGACTCGATAGCGCAGGACGATCTAACGCGCTTGCTAGTCACGGCGACTTCCGAATCCAATCCTCTCGACCGTCTGTTCGCCGACCAGCTCAGCAAGCATCAGAGTTTGGTAAGTGCGCGAAGTTTCATATATTCGGATATTTACTTCCTTTCACATTTCGATAACGATCGGATGAAGCAGACCCTAATATCGGATAACACGTGTGTCATAGGTGAATTTAATAGAACAAAATCTTGCCGCGCAAGACAATATACTGGCGGCTCTGACCGACGTGTACGCACAGACCGCGAACGTACGCAAGAACGTCGAGGAGGTGCTGAAGCGTCGAGAGATCACGATATCATCCCTGATCACGTCTTATGACGCGTACGAGGATCTGCTGGCGAAATCGAGTAAGGGCTTGGAGTTTTATAGGAAGCTAGAAATCAATGTTTCGAAGCTGTTACAGCGAGTCAAGAGTACGTGCAAGGTGCAAGAAGAGGAACGGGAGCAGATACTCGCGCAGGACAGTAAGAACACATACGAGAAGACTGATGCGACGACACCGTCGACCTACGATCAAGGACGTCCTCCTCGTTCCAATGGCCTGAAGCTGAAGGACTACCTGAACAACAGAATCGAGAGCGGCACCGGCTATCAGAATCCTTACTACAACCTGTACAAAGGACACGTCACGGCGATGCAAATGGACTCAATGCCGAAGACACTGTCGACTGACATAGCGGATAATAAAGGAGGTCTCATCCAGTCATCTGGTGTGATAACCGCCACGTCAGAGGCGCCATCTTCTTCGGTCAAGTCGTCGCAGCACTATTACCCCGCGAGCTATGCCGATTATCGAGCCACGGGTTCCCCGTACTCCTACAATACTCAGACCTACTACGAGAATCCAATCGCCAACAGTGGCATGAGTCAGAGTTACTTGCCAACTAATAACACGATCGCCACGAGTGTCTACCAGCAGCCGATCTTCTCGGCTTCGAGCGCAAGCGCATCTACCTCGGGCATGCAGTACCCCGCGAGTTCTTACCCGCCGAATGGCCAAGCGTTGCCTACGTCTACCAACGGACAGGACAAGTACCGTAGTGCATCACAAGCCGCTTACAACGTCTCCAACACCGCTCTTCAGTATGACGCGTATCACCAGCCTCCGGCGGGTTACAATAGTTACAACGTTGCAACGCCGTACGCTCCTAATCAGGACAAGGTCGCCTCGCAAGGTCTCGCTACAGTGAAGACTGTAGCTTCGATACCGAAAATATCGTCGCAGGTTCAAGTGCCGCAGATACCTGTATCTACGATCAGTATTCCTGCGAACGTCACGGTACCGGTAGACGGCCAGCCGCAGACTTCTTACAGCGTCATGCAGCAGGATCAACAATACGACACCCAACAGAAGACTGTCTTGCCGGGCCAAGAAATGTCTCATACTGGCCAGACCGCAGTCAGGCCCCAACCGACTCTCTCCACAAAGGACAACACGTCGACGCAGAACTACTCGTTGCCCCAAGCCGAGCTCACGTACTCGCAGAACTATCCAAGCAGCGCGTACTACAATCCGGCGGAACTTCAAGCAACTCAGCGAGTCCCGTATACTCATAGCACGTACGACGCGACGCAGTACATGCAGCAACCGAGCGCCAACACCCAGCCGGTGCACTCTGTGACGTCAGCGAGCGAGATCTCTGCGGCATCGTACGCCTCGAATCTGCAGTCAGCCGGCGCGGTGAATCCTTCCGCGCAGTATCCGCAGCAGACCACCAGCAGTACGGACCAGGCCAAGCAAGTGTACGCGGACAACACATACGCCACGTACGGCACGCAGGTGCAGATGAACCCGGTCGCTCCGGGTTACCCGAGTACTTATCAGAATTATCAGCACGGCATCACCGCTGCCACGCCGTACCAACAACCGAGCGGCATGCAAGCCGCGGACGCGTCCAACGCTTACGCTTATTTGAACAGCTCGAGCGGCTCGGAGATGATACAGAGCCACGCGAAGCCGACCACGGTGCAGAGTTACTCGCAGTCATACCAGTATTCGCATCAGGACGCTTACGGCGGCTATGTGCAGTACCCAGGCTATTCGCAGGCTCAAAATTACGCGTACATGCAGCAGCCCGGTGCTCACGGCACCAGCACTATGACGTACACATATAATCCTGCTGGTCAGCCTGGCTACGCAGCTTACGCGGCTAATAATGCTCAGACCACGCAGGCTTCTCAAACGTTGGAGGCAGCGGCAGCGGCGACGGCCTCAGTACCGTCTGCTAGCGTCACCGCTACCTTGTCCAGTGGCTATCAGCAGCAAGAGACGAACGCAAGATACACGAACGCGGGCAACAACGCCGTGGTTACTCAAACAGCGTCTTCGCAGTACAGCCAAGTTCCTCAGTCTTCAGGAGGAAACGACACATACTACACCACCCCTTACGGCCTTCAGATGCAGCAGGGTCAAGGTAGCCCGACATTTTAATGTTCCTCCGCTGTGAATGGTGCTTTCGATTTGGTAACGCAAGCTGACACAGCATCATCAAGCGTTATTATGTCTCTCCCGTATTCGATAGGTGATCAAGATAGAATGATGCTTGTGTCGATACGTGTCACTGGATAGAAAGCACTCAATATCATCGAGTCTGTTCTTTTGAGCTGAAGGAGGTCATACTTCTTGCCTTTAGAGCGAAACAAGGGTATGACCAGATGTTGGAAGGCAAAGGAACAAAGTTCCTGCGTAGCTGAAAAGAACAGAAGTGAATGAAACTGAACTAAAACTAAGAACTGTCGTCTACATACGTTCTCGCGCGGCTGATTTTTGTTTCAGTGGGCTCGGTCACGAGACCTGAAAACCACAGCAATTACAATCAGACGTACATGCAGGCTGTGAACAACGGCACGAACACGACAACGAGCACGAATCCGATGAAACTCACTATCAAATCCGACGAGCCGAAATCAAACGTTGATCTCTTGTCCGATCTCGATATCACCATAAACCACGCGCCTCTTGTGCCGGAGGTGCGACCTCTCTCCACAGTGCAGAAGAAAGAAGAGACAGTGACTGCCGGTACTGCGGAGAACGGCAAGGCGGAGAAGAACGAGCAGGATAAAGCTCAGAAGACTGAACAGGAGACGATCTCGGCTCCCACCGAGGACAAGAACGACCACGAGAATTTGCAAATTGTATGGGATACCTGGTACAACGACGTGCAGCCGAAGAAGGATCCTCTGGGAGAGCCGGCGGCACTGCAGAAGTTCATTAATGACGTGGAGAAGTACGAGAAGTTCGTGGACAGCCTACTCGTGAAGACTCTCAGTGGAGCTACGAATCTTGATATCAAGTGGAAAGAAGTGCAGGATTTTGAAGTGAGTGAAATCAATTTTACACCATTTAATCACAATTTTTCTTTCAACTTGTTACATTTTACTCTTATCCATCCAAACGGCACGTTAAGAAATATCTGAATTTCGCGTTCTCTTTTCTTCAGGAACGAGAAAATGGGAAGCAGTCGAGCACCGTAGCATTGGCTCATTCGTCGGAGAATCGAGCGGTCGATTGCATTCCGTATGATACTACGCGAGTGCAGGTATCCTCGTCGGACGTTTCGTCGTACATTAACGCGTCGCACGTCATGGAAATCACACAGTGGATACCTACTGCATTTATTATAACCCAGATGCCATTGTCGGATAAGTTAGACGTCTTCTGGGCGATGATTTGGGAACAAGAGAGCGAGGTTATCGCTTGCTTGGCGTCCGATGCACAGGTTTGTAGATAGTAAACGACAAACACAACTTAGCACAATTAGAAAAGTATAATGAAAAGCAACTGTATGGCATTTCAAGTATCTCTTACAATTTTAAGATCTGATCGGCGTCGTATTCTTCTCATTTTGATCGCGTAAAATGTCTTTACACGTGTCCTGTTTAGCTAAATGGTGAGTTATACTGGCCCATAAATGAAGAGAACAGTTTGGACGTGGGAAATTTTAGGATTTCGCTACAAAAGACTGTCAACCATACAACTTACGTTCAACGAATCCTCTCCATACAACACAACAAGAAGAAATCCGACAGAGTCGTTGTACACATGCAGTTCCTCGTGTGGCCTTCAAAGTGAGTTGCCTGCAGCCAATAGAAATTAATTCGAATACTTCTTGGAACAACCAAGTCTCACTTCCTACCGTTTTTTAGTGGTTTTCCAAGCAGCCCTGGCGCTTTACTTGGATTTTCAACCGACGTGATGACAGAACAGGCGTTGAGACGTTGCTCTCCCAAGCCAGTAGTTGTGCATTGTTTGGACGGTGGTTCGTTAAGTAGCCTGTTTTTAGTGGCCGCTGCAACAGTATGCCACATACGAGCGGGTTGTGGAATCGTAGATGTGCCACTGGTCTTTAAGGGTCTGGTGAAATGTCGCAAACAAGTTGTGAACAAAGAATCGTTATTGTTCGCATATAGATTAGTTTTATACCATGCTCAGGACATTTTAATGAAACGTAAGGAAGCATTTATTGCCTTATAACGCTCATTTTAGTTGAAATTGCCAAAACGACAACACTATTTTTTTTTCAGGAGGCATCTTATCGTCCACTCGATCTACGTTTGAGAATTTTGACGGGTTCAAAGGGAGCAAAGAAAAAGCACTCAGAAAGCTTCATCAATGTCATCCGTCAGATGATTTTCTCCACAATCTCGGCGTCGGAATACATCGTTCTGATTCTGAACAAAGTATGCAATTATTAGGAATACTTCATAAAATCTGCAAATAATTTTCAGTGCACTGAATCCTTTAAGATGTAATCTGTTACGTTTGCATTTATAATCGACTGTTACCTCTGAAGCGCCAAATGGATCTTGTTTCAGGAAATATACAAGCAAATGACAATGCAACCAATTCGGCGTCGTCGCAAGAAAAGAATAATGAAGGAGTCGTTGATCCCTTGAGCCAGTTGGATCCTCTATGGTCTATCAGGAGATAATTATATCGTGCTAGGAATGTGTGAATTCCGCTGTGCAGCTTTAAATCAACGATTATTTAAACGAGATAGTCATTCCTATATCTTTGTTAAAGTGGTCGAAAATGAGACGAGCTATAAAATATGTATAAATGTCGCAACGGAACTAGAACAAAGTAATACTGTGCATCTAAATTAGCCTCGAAATAAAAAGACATTTATTCAAATATTTCCTTAAGTTTTAAGTTTTAATTCTTAAGTTTTAAGGGTTTACAATCTGTTAAATATATACATATATATACATATGTATATACACAATATGTATATATATATATATAAATCCTTTTATATATATATATGTATACATACATATACATACATATATATATATATATATATGTGTATATATATAAAATAAAAATATAAAATGCATGCTCCTACTCGCATTCATTTCCATATTTATACATCTCGTGTGGTCTAAGTGCAATGTAATCTAATTACATTGCCTTATTCGAATTTCATTATATTTAGGCTGTAATTTATGTTAATCCATTTATAAATAGTCTTGCATTTATGTAGTGTTTTAGTATCAATACAAAAATCTGTGACCATGCTCGTGTCACCAAGCAACAGCGTAATTTAAATGTAAACTTTATGAAATATTTATTTACGACATTATTTCTTGGCGAATAAAGATGCTTTCGATAATATAATTGTTCAATATAGTATAATAGTGGATTGGATGCGAAGTATATCCGTCACAATCCTACTTGCTTATACTTAAAACGTGAGCACGTACGTAAATGTCCATTAAACAATTATATTATCCTAATTAGCCATGTTATCCAATGTTATTACTTTGATCAAGATTCAATGCCGGTAAGGAATACATGCTAAACGTACACTCGTCGAATTCCAATAAATTGTATATAGCAATATTTATATTTAAATGTTGTTTATATTTATGGCGAGATTTTATCTATAAAAATTTCGGTTACATTGGGATATATTGAAGTAAAATCTGATACGCCAAATGTGCACGTACCAGACTTCGCAGTGTTTGTTACGGAACTCATACGCAATATAAAAAAGAAAATGAGAAAAACATTTATAACGTAATAAATCTCTAACGATTCAAATCTCGATTAGAGAGCATTTTTAAGCCCCTCTGTTTCGTAGATCTTTTACTTTGTAAATTCGTACGAGCCAATGTTCTGTTGTGTACGCTTCTTCCAACGTATCTAGTTCAAAGTCTTTATTTCCGATCTCCATATTTCTGACTCTGTCGTAACCTGACGGCTTGCCTGTAAAAAGAGGGAACACATAATTATATAAAAATCACTGCTGTAATCTGGACTTGTGGATTGCAGTCTCGCTTAGAACAATCTTACCGCCTTCTGTGTAGATCTGACCGAATCTGTAATAGCACATTTTGTACATGAGACAGTTGAGCAAAACTGGAGATCCCTCTTTGTCCACTCGAAATTCGCCTGCGGAATTGTAGTAATTCCACTCGGTTATTGATTTTCCTTTTTCCGTACTGCCGCCGATACGCACCATCCATAGGAACTTATTTATGTCTAATGAAGATGAATAAGAACATTATATTTTAAACAGCATAACGTTTCATCTACATTTTTTCCTTTTCACAATTGGAATACAATTGTAAACAATTGAAGCAATCGCGCGCTCACCGTCTGATGAATATCCAGTGAGTCCACCGAAAATTACGAGAACGTAGTTTACATCCAATTCTCTCATTATCTCGTAAGCCTTCTCCTCAGAACTTGCCATCGCCTGACCGACTCTTGATATGTGCGTATTATTCCATGTATTATTGTCTACTAGGATAGTACGATTCGCCATTGCAGTTATCTGATAGCCATAGTCCCACCAAGACATCACTTTAGCATTCTATGAGAGAAAAGAATACAATTTGTTTCAATATTACTTTTCCAAAATTGTACTATCTAGCAATGAATGTTTTCATCTAAGAACCATTTGGTAATTATTTTCACCGAACACTTGAATTTGTACCTCTGTATGTTTAATCGTTTGCATCTAACGTAACACAGAAATGAATAACAATTGTTACCTCGGGTGTATTCATACGTAGCCAATAATATGCTTCCCTAAAATCATCGAAAATCATTCGTCCACCGTCAGGCGATCGTGCAGAGAGTACAATGCTAGGTGAGCTGTAAGCTTCCGCTGTCACCCATGTGCAATGAAGAGTATAAGAAAAAAAGAGTATACACATGACTATAATGAAAAATGTGGCGATCTGAAAAGAACAGATGTTTCTTAATTGAATACTTTGTTCTATATTCGAGACGTTATTATATATTTCGTACTTTAGACATATTTATTTTTCAGTAAATTAAGAGCTTTTGCAACCTACCTCACTCTTCAAGACATAGTTACTTTCGAATTTCTTAGCTCTCTTATCAGTAACTTTGGAACCTTCAACTTGCTTCATATATGTAACTAATAAAGAGGATGCTCCGATTCCACCCATAATACACATTACAGGAGCGAGTACTAACATTAAACGTACCATCACTCCCTGAAATGAATAAATTGTATGTTAATCATGTATGGTACAAATAAAAATTTTGTTTATATAGACATATAGAAAGAAAGCTAATGATATGCTTGTAATGCTAACGAAAAAATATCTCATATAATGTAGGGATATATTCCACAGACATCTACATCCCAGGTATGCGAGATAAATATAAGAATTTAGGTGTATACTAATTTTACAACTGTAAAATTACTTACTGCAAAATATAAACTGGTAACTCCGTACAAAATTAGGAAAATGTTCGAGTCCGTTAACTTAGAAAAACAGAAATATAAGCCTGATGGGAACAAAAATACAAGTATCTGCAGATCAAAGTAGAAGGAGCTCCATGATGTTGGCTGATGTTCCGAAACGGAAGCGATTATTGGAATGTGATTTTTTGCGTAAGATGGATCAAGCAGCGAGTAAAAGCGTCCGGTCCACGGTGATATTTTTCCTTGAAAGAATTAAGTAAAGCACACACGAGGATATATTATGAATAAAATAATATACTTGATGTATAGGTGTACTAAACAATAGTTTAAAAACTATACAAGAGATCCATACCTGTAATGGTTGAAATACCACCAACTGTGCACGACGTGGCAACTACTACAATAACAAGAGCACGGAATAATACTTCAAACTCCTTTTGCGACAGCTTACTCCGCAAGTAATCTACTAACGCATGTATTTGGCACAGGCCAAAAACGCCCAATGCCTATGAGAATTAAGTAACATAAATAAAATTGCCAACACAATTTTTTATTACTTGGGCGCAAATGAAAGACTCTTGATGAAAGAGCGCATTACAAGTACTACAACACTTACAAGCATATGCTCGGAGCTTTGAACGGGTTGAAAGCCAACAAACGATATCTGCATAGATAGAATTGTGCCTAAGCAATACAAGATACTGTACGCAATGTATATTCTGTGGGAAAATCGGCCAGTCACCATCAAAGTCAGCACATGTAACGGTATCAAATTGATCAAAAAGACATATCCTCCCCACGAGGATACCATGTAAAAGTATGCCAGTGCGGAACATGTAGACCAACATATCGCTCCAGTCTTTACAGCTTTGATCCACATGTAATATGTAAATAACATGCAAAAGATCGCTATGCCTTCATTGTCGTATGATCCGGCGACCGATCGAGATATGTAACCGGGTACAATAGCGATCATTGCAGCTGCAAATAGGCCTGATGCAGAATCCTGAAGGAGTAAATAAATTCTATAAATTGTTTATTAAAAAATGGAAGGGGCAGAAAAACAATTTTAAAACATACCTTCAATTCTTTGGTAAGCAGATAAGTAATGATTGTAGTTAAACTTGAAAACAATGGAGCAAGGAAGACACAGATATTGCGTATATCTAATGTGATATTCAGTAACCATGACAGGCGGTACAATGCTGCAGAAGTTATCATTAAACCAGGATATATAGTTCCTACAAAATTTATCATAAGTACCTGGAATACCTGTGGTTTTCTTTGAAAAAAAAATGACACCTGGCTTTTAGTGTACAATACCTCCTATTATCCTACCAAGTGGATACCAAACACGATCATCAAACCAATTATGAAAACTGTAGAAGCCATTTTCAGCTAAATATTTTGTTGTGCGATAATTGAAATATGGATCAAATTCATGAATAACGCTTTCAAATCTTAATACTGAGAACAAACGTGTTGCAAATGCTGCAAGGAGCAATTACATATGAAAATAATTAGATATAAAAATAACTACATATAAAAATAGATATAACGTTTCTATGGTTTCTATTATCTGTGCAAAGATATGAGTAAAATAAAAACAGGCTTACACAAGATTGCTGCTAAAGAGAGTACAGTCAATTTCAAGAGTGTCTCTTGTTTTTGTGCTGTCATACGCAAACCCCTTGCTTTTACCAATGACACCATGTTGATGCAAAAGCATGTACAGTAATTTCAAGTAACTCTCCTATGTTCTATAGCATCAAACTGCAAAAAAATTAATGTTATTTTAGTTTAATATCAATTGTATATCTCATTATTGTAAATTAAAAATATTTAACGAAATGTAAAATAATATATATTCAATTCGATATTCAAGTAGGCATAATATTCAGAAAGTAACAGCAGGTTCCACATACTAAAAATGAATATAAACGAACACATGTTTGTTATCGTACCAAAAGGTTATAATTGAATTAGTAAAATAAACCGATGTGCACACAGTTGAATTGAAGTGACGAGAATCATATGAAAGAAACGTATATTTCTGATTTTAAGGCATATCAATGCACTTGAAAAAATATGTGCATATATACTTTCAAATAACACCATATGTAAAATCACCACTGACACCGACGAGATACTGTAAAGACAAGCCGTGTACCAAAATTCACTGATGTACTGAAAATATATAGTTTGTGTCACGCAAACTATAAATTTCAGCGCTGGCAGTGAATTTTGGAACACGGCCACTGTTAGCCTTAAGGCTCATCTACAATGGCTGCAAAAATAAAGCCAGCGGCACACGGTGCTTGTTTTCGTGGTGGATTGCTTGCTGGATGAAAATACTGCGTTCTGATTGGTGCATTTCCGAAGATGGATGGAAATGCACCAATCAGAACGCAGTATTTTCATCCAGCAAGCAATCCAGCACAAAAACAAGCACCGTGTGCCGCTGGCTTTACTGCTTACGCTTACAACCTTATTCTTGCAGCTATTGTAGATGGGCCTTTACGGCTGCGATCCCATGGACCGATATTTTCCGCGTAACGCGAATCGCGTAACCAATCAGAGACGTTCCGCATTTTCTGTTACGCCTCTGATACGTTACGCAGGAAATATCGGTCCATGGGATCGCAGCCTTACGAGTGGTCTGTTTTTTTTAGCTGCACTACTGAACTGGTGCAATAAGTGAGAAAAAATATAGTTGTCTCATTCTAAAGCTAAGACTCCATGCATGCGGTGAGCTCCGGCAAACGGCTGCGGTGACCAATCAGGAGACAGACGCATGCCGGAGCTTGGCGCAACCGGACTTGCGCCTCCCTCCTGATTGGTCATCGCAGCATTTGCCGCAGCTCACCGCATGCATGGAGTCTTAGCTTAACTTATTGCATTAGTTACGCAGTGCAGCTAAAAAGAACAGACCATACATCTTGGCTGCGTTCCAACATTTACTGCCAATACTGACAATCTGTAATGTACGTGACACAAACTATGTATTTTTAGTACTGGTAGTGAATATCGGAACGCAACCCTAAGCTGGTACTACAAATCTATAGCTCGTGTCACGTATATTATAGAGTTTCAGTACTGATAGTGAACATCGGAACGCAGCCTTATGCCCAATTCTACCAACCTTGAATAACTTAACCTGTTGGTTATTCCAACGCAATTGACCAATCGCATTTATCGGTAACTAGAATTGTTAAATGCAATTGGTCCATTCCGATGGAATAATCAGTAGGTTAAACTAACCATGGTTAATAGAAACGAAACATTAGTTTATTAGAAAAACCTCATTGTATATTAGCGGCCCCTTGGGAATATCGGACGGATTATGAAAGAGTTCTAAATAAACATGGATGGTAATAGATATGGAATATGGTAATAGATATGGAATAATAATAGAAAAAAGGTATTACAAAGTATCAAAACAGTATTAATAACGAAACATGACAATAGATTAATTTTATGAGCCCATAAAAAACAAAAATTTAAACCAAGCGCAGTACTCATTTACTTAACGCATTATGTTCAAAAAATGTAAACAATTTTTGAGGTATTTCTGGAAGTCGTACAAAGTCGAGCCAGGAATTATTTTCTTCGTTTCGACGAACACTACCGAATGCAATTCTAAAAGTCCACAACAAAACCTAATTTTAATTATTTTAATTATTTTATAACTAAGACCCACACAAACCGCATTGACGGGTGCGTACTCGTTATCGAGAAATTGAAGTCGATAAGTCAAGATGGGCCGATACGAAAACGACGAGTCACCGGGTGTAAGCTCTCAAATTATTTGCAATAAGACATTGATGTAGGTTCGAAATAAAATTGATCCAAGCCAACCGCACAGAGCTGCGATCACGCATTTTGGAGATACAGGACTCGAAAGAGTGACAGGCGCGGAAATGACGAATCATGAAATCTTAATTAACGAAAAATGAGTGATAAGATTTAATCAAGACCACATATAATTAAGATTTTCGTAAAACGCATCGAGCTACGATTATGCGCTTCCGAGTTAGAAGCCCCACAGGAATGAAAAATGACAGGTTCGGAAATGACGTGTCATGAAATGATAAGGAACGAAATATAAGTGATAAGATCTTAATCTAGAATAAAAATAAAAAAGATACTCGTAAACCGTATCAAACTGAGATCACGCGTCTCGAAGTTAGAGAACACGAAAGATTGAAAACTGACAGGAGCGTAAATGAGGTGTCAAGAAATGATAAGGAAAGAAATATGCGGGTTAAAATTTAATCCAGAACAAAAATAAGAAAAATCCTCGGCAACGACAACGACCTACGGTTACGCGTTTCAAAGTTAGAGGCCACGAAAGATTGGAGACTCACATTCCAAATAACTTGTCATGAAATAATAGGAAACGAAATATGAGTGATAAAATTTTATCCATACTCAAAAAAAAAATCCTCGTAATGGTGCCGTATGGAGATGTGATTACGCGTTTCAAAGTTAGAGGCCACGAAAGATGGAAAAGTGACAGGCACGAAAATAACAGGACATGAAATATTAAATATAGAAATATGGATAATAAGGTTATAAATTAGACCCAAAATAAAAAAGATCTTCAAACTACAACAAGGTGCCTCAATTAGTTATTGAGAAACTAAAGCGGATAGGACAAGACAGATGCGAAAATGACGTGTCACCTGATACTAGGTTCCAAATTCTTTGCTACAAGACATTAATCTAGGTTCGAAATGACTGATCCGTGCAAACCGAATCGAGCCTTATTACGCATTTCGGAATTATAAGCACGAAAGATAAAAAAGTGACAGGGTCCGAAATGACCTCTCACGAAATAATGAAAATTAATTGATGATAAGGTTTAATCTAGACCCAAAATAAGAAAGATCCTCGTGAATCGCATCGAACTGTGATTACGCGTTTCTGAGTTCCAGGCCACTTAAGATAGAAAAGTGACGTGCCCGAAAATAACCAGTATCGAAATATTAATTATCGAAATATGGATAATAAGATTTTAATCTAGATCCAATATAAAAAAGATTCTCACCAATTACAACAAGGTGCGCGTATTCCTTATGGAGAAACTAAAGCGAAAAGTACAAGACCGACCGATGCGAAAATAACGTGTCACCTGATATAAGTTACAAAATTATTTTCTGTAAGACGTTAATCTAGGTTCGAAATATGATTGATCCGTGCAAACCGCATCGAGCTGAGATCACGCGTTTCCAAGATATAAGCCACGAAAGATGGAAAAATGACAGGCATGAAAATGAAATATTAAATATGGAAACATGCGTAACAACGTTTTAATCTAGACCCAAAATAAGAAAGATCTTCGCAAATTAGAACAAGGTGCGCGTATTCGTTATCGAGAAATTAAAGCGGAAAGTTCAAGGCCAACCGGAGCGAAAATTACGTGTCACCGGATATAAGCTACAAAATTATTTTCTGTAAGACGTTAATCTAGGTTCGAAATATGATTGATCCGTGCAAACCGCATCGAGCTGAGATCACGCGTTTCCAAGATATAAACCACGAAAGATGGAAAAATGACAGGCATGAAAATGAAATATTAAATATGGAAATATGCGTAATAAGGTTTTAATCTAGACCCAAAATAAGAAAGATCTTCGCAAATTAGAACAAGATAAGCGTACTCGTTATCGAGAAATTAAAGCGGAAAGTTCAAGGCCGACCGGGGCGAAAATTACGTGTCACCGGGTATAAGCTACAAAATTATTTGCTGTAAGACGTTAATCTAGGTTCGAAATATGATTGATCCGTGCAAACCGTATCGAGCTGAGATCACGCGTTTCCAAGATATAAGCCACGAAAGATGGAAAAATGACAGGCATGAAAATGAAATATTAAATATGGAAATATGCGTAATAAGGTTTTAATCTAGACCCAAAATAAGAAAGATCTTCGCAAATTAGAACAAGATTAGCGTACTCGTTATCGAGAAATTAAAGCGGAAAGTTCAAGGCCGACCGGGGCGAAAATTACGTGTCACCGGGTATAAGCTACAAAATTATTTGCTGTAAGACGTTAATCTAGGTTCGAAATATGATTGATCCGTGCAAACCGTATCGAGCTGAGATCACGCGTTTCCAAGATATAAGCCACGAAAGATGGAAAAATGACAGGCATGAAAATGAAATATTAAATATGGAAATATGCGTAATAAGGTTTTAATCTAGACCCAAAATAAGAAAGATCTTCGCAAATTAGAACAAGGTGCGCGTATTCCTTATGGAGAAACTAAAGCGGAAAGTTCAAGGCCGACCGAAGAGAAAATTACGTGTCACCGGGTATAAGCTACAAAATTATTTGCTGTAAGACGTTAATCTAGGTTCGAAATATGATTGATCCGTGCAAACCGTATCGAGCTGAGATCACGCGTTTCCAAGATATAAGCCACGAAAGATCGAAAAATGACAGGCATGAAAATGAAATATTAAATATGGAAATATGCGTAATAAGGTTTTAATCTAGACCCAAAATAAGAAAGATCTTCGCAAATTAGAACAAGATTAGCGTACGCGTTATCGAGAAATTAAAGCGCAAAGTTCAAGGCCGACCGGGGCGAAAATTACGTGTCACCGGGTATAAGCTACAAAATTATTTGCTGTAAGACGTTAATCTAGGTTCGAAATATGATTGATCCGTGCAAACCGTATCGAGCTGAGATCACGCGTTTCCAAGATATAAGCCACGAAAGATGGAAAAATGACAGGCATGAAAATGAAATATTAAATATGGAAATATGCGTAATAAGGTTTTAATCTAGACCCAAAATAAGAAAGATCTTCGCAAATTAGAACAAGATTAGCGTACTCGTTATCGAGAAATTAAAGCGGAAAGTTCAAGGCCGACCGGGGCGAAAATTACGTGTCACCGGGTATAAGCTACAAAATTATTTGCTGTAAGACGTTAATCTAGGTTCGAAATATGATTGATCCGTGCAAACCGTATCGAGCTGAGATCACGCGTTTCCAAGATATAAGCCACGAAAGATGGAAAAATGACAGGCATGAAAATGAAATATTAAATATGGAAATATGCGTAATAAGGTTTTAATCTAGACCCAAAATAAGAAAGATCTTCGCAAATTAGAACAAAATGCGCGTATTCGTTATCGAGAAATTA